TCAAAATCAAATCCTTCCTACACCCTCTAATACCTCTCTTATCTCCACGACTAACTCTTCTCACATTCATTTATCACAGTGCACAGCTAATACCCGTAACAGGCTTAAAATCACCAGGAGTTCATGGGTAGTTGATGCCAGTTTCAAACTTGAATGTAAGAGGAAAGTTAAATGTGTGATAAGTAACTAAAACACCAGAAAATAATCTCACCACGATAATCAGAAAAAAGTATATAAGCCGTTTCAAGTCTGTGTTTCAGCATTTGAAGGGTCTTCATATTGAGGAGAGTTATGTTGCTTTACGATAAAGGCTGAAGTTGTTTTGGAAGCCAGGGGAATGATATTGAATTAGGAAACTAACCACGGCCTAAATAATACGGTCGTATAAAAGACAATAGAAATCAGTTATATGTGAGGCTGAAGTCTATTTCATAGAAGTGACCAAGTCCGGGATGTCAACACTGGATACGAACACATCATGGGGATTAATACGGTGGGAGAAAGGAAGGAGAATATTAAGAAACAAGTAACTTCATGTGCTTTCAACAACACCATGGAGAATCACATCGATATAATCTGAATCAATGACAAAATTCAGAAGGTACTTGGAAGATGCAAAGATGCGGAAAGTAACTGATGTAATCTCAAATCATCACCTGACGGTGACCAAGTTAAAACTGGAGCCATATAAGTTTAACACAGGTGTTTCCTTTGAAATGCTAACAAACTGATCAAATTCAAGCGAGCTCTGAACAACAAGTTACGAGACTCATTTGAAATGGAAATCACTATGGAGAGAAGCGGGAAAGAGAATACACGACAATAACTTCAACACACCAGTAAGTCATGGGCTTCAAAATACACCAACATGAAGAATCAGTCTACATAGTGAGTTTAGGTGAGACTCGAGATAAGAAAACAAGAAGACTACAATCCACTAAAGGACGAGTGTATTGTGCAGTAGTTTGCTCCGTCTTACTTTATGGATGTGAAACATGGCCAGTCAGAGTAGAAGATATTCGTAGATTACTTGTTTTCGATCATAGGTGTCTTCGAAGCATTGCTCGTATATCCTGGGACAACCGAGTGAGCAATGCTGTCGTTAGGAAACGAGTATTAGGTTAGGATGTCGGATCAATAGATGAAGTGGTGAAACTTGATCAGTTGAGGTGGTTGGGACATGTGTTACGTATGGCTAACCACCGACTGCCTCGACGAGCTATGTTTTGTGGTGTAGGAGTAGGTTGGAAGAAAGCATGGGCGGCCAGACCAAAACATGGCAGAAATCCATGAAGTCACTGACAACTGGTTTGAGTGGACTAGGCCATGTCGGTAGGTGTCGACTACCTTGGATGGCTCCGCGAGATGTTATTATTCGATGGTTAGAGACCCTGAATGACATGGCTTAAAACCGTTTGCAATGGCGCCGGTTCATTCATTCTTTGTGTTCTCTCAAATCCTAAATTTTTTTAATTCTTCATCACTTTATCTTTATCTTTCTACATCTATTTCCCTAGATCCTACTTCTTGAATAATATCTTCTAATCCTAGCCTCTCCGACTACTGCTAATACCTTTACAACCTCTACTACTATTGGATTTGAATTGACAATTACATCTCTGTGCTAATGTGATATGGCAACATGAATTGATGTACGTTGAGACTGATTGATCGATTGAGAGTACGATCCACAAAAATCAAACACAAGCTAACGGAACCAAGACGCAAGCCCGATTTACAGTCACAAACAAATGAGTAACGCGCATAGCTGACTATCGGAAATATATCGAAGACGTGCTGACGACAGCAGAGAACACTGCAATAGGTGGAAATTCATCTCAGTCAACAATGGAAGCCTTGTATATTATCGGATGAATCGTACTTCACAGACAAACTACTACTTCTAACCGGTACAGAGCAAGTGAAAACAGCCAGTATGTAATGGCTGTCTACACAGTAGCACGCCTGCAATTTCATACATATATTTACTTGTAAACTTGTCAGCTTACTACTTACTGATTTGCCCTCTTATATATGACGATGAATCTTATCTTAGATTCGTAAATCATTTTTACGGGTTGGAAAGATTCATGACTTTTGTAACTTGCCTCATAGCTAGACAAATATGAAGAACTAGAAGACGCTAAACAGATGATGCTTAATAGTCAGTTCTCATGAGAAATTGAATTCACAACGTTCTAGCCTCGTTATTTCATACGAAATCTCAACAACATTGAGTTGTTATACATTGATGTCTATATTCCAACCCTCACTTGGTTAACAATAATGCATTGAAACCGTTTAGTGCCGTCGATGAATAACCGACACACTCTCGTTATGTCTGAAGTTCAGTGACTTTGGCATCTTACTGAAACTCTCCAAGGTACCAGAGAACACATGAATATTTCTATAAGAGTTTTCAAATGCTGTTTAGTTTAATAATTATTTCAGTCAATATTTGATAAGTACGTGTCTTATTCTGAGAGGGCTTACAAACAGCTATCTGATATATTTTTAAAAGGCAAAACATGAACTACAATTCGAACTTTTTCCATATATACACAGTGAATGAAAACTTGAATAGGTGAATGATAACGTCATAAATTTAAAAAAACTGGGTCATGCAGATTTGAATCATACAGTAAACATCAGTTACATCAAGGTTGCATGTACGCCTTACTAACTAGTAACAACTAGTGTAAACCTTAGACGTAGAGTTTTCTTGTAGACTGATTCCAACTATATGAAAATTAGATAACAATTAATTGAACTGACTTCTTCGAATGAGGGGACTATATCAAAATTAGGTTTCAATTGTAAGTGGTCTTTGTTGCAGAAATGAAATCAGTGGGCATTCCGTAACATCAGACAATCGCTTAATCCCAGTAAACAATGAAATGAAATAACACTGCCACTGATAGAAAACTGTTATATTCGTCACTTGTTATGCTTGAAACTATCACGAGTTCACCTTAGTCGATAAACGAAAACTGTAAACAATGAACCAGTAATACTGTAGGCTACTCTTATCCGTTACCCCTAACTAACTGAAGAAAAAGTCTTGACATGGCGTAGAGAGTGTATTCTTCAAACACCCAGCAAAAACAATCAACTCAAGCACACAAAGCGCGTTTATTTATACATCAAAGAAATGTCCTTGGGCGAGTCACAAAAATAGCATAATAAAATAACACATCAACCAATCACAGCCAGAGATTTTCCTAGTGAGAAATCTGATCTCAAGGTCGACTGATTAGCCCATGCGCTAAAACATCCAAAATTAAGACATTTATCAAGCCAGTTCTGCGGATCTAATGTCTCCAACTAAAAACAAAGATGCTTAGATCTCTAAGAACTTTCTAATCTTTTAAATTGCCAAAATAGTTTCTAATAATTTACGTTTTATATTCAATCACGTCGCTAAACTATGATACATTGTCAACAGTTACTACTCTGGTGATGATGTGGGTGGTTATCAATATTAAGATGCCACAAATCTGAATCAAAAAAATATATCAAGTGCGCTCTTTAACTGTGAATAATTCTTCGACTTGTATTCATCCGTGATGTAAACTGTTTGTGGATAAATGAACTTTAGATATGAATAAAAAAGACAATGTCATTTGAAGAGATTGTAAAATGAAAAGGATTTTAATTTTTCATCAATAAGTTATGGAGATTGTTGAAATCTATTGAAACTATGGGTACATCAATGAAAAATCATCAGATCTGCTTACTACTGACTAGCTTTATGTATAAATTCTTAGAGTTCTGCTTAGAAGCCATGATCACTCGAGTTCAACCCTGTTATGAGTGGGGGCAATTACTCACCGAAGACAATAGACGATGGAAGTTGATGGAAGCTAGACATTTACACTGTTGGATGCCAACTCACCGGTCTAGAAGTTGAGCGTGCACGCATGAGACTAAAGGTCATGTGTTCGATTCTCGCTAATAGGGGTTGTGGATGTGCACTGCTGATGAGTCTCATACGAGGACGAAACGATCGTCCAGAACATCTATGTTTCTAATAGTGGTTTAACATTATTCAATCCATAACTTTAACGATATGCGAACAGATAATCAACGGGTAATCAAAGAAGTAGGCTTTTATTTACTTCAAACTGCCACCGGATACAGAAAGCTCGACTGGCTTCGCCAACCTGCATCACCGATGGCGAAGGCGAGATATCCATCTGCCCACTGTAGGATAAGTCCACCGCGCAGTAGTTCGCTCCGTCCTACTTTATGGCTGTGAAACATGGCCAGTGAGAGTAGAAGATATTCGTAGGTTATCGGTTTTCGATCATAGATGTTTAAGGAGCATTGCTCGTATACCGTCGGACAACCGAGTAAGCAATGCTGTCGGTAGGAAACGAGTACTAGGTAACGATGGCAGATCAGTAGTGAAGTATTGAAACTTCATCAGTTGAGGTGGTTGGAACATGTGCTGCGTATGCCTAACCACCGACTACCTCGACGAGCTTTGTTTTGTAGTGTAGGCGTAGGTTGGAAGAAAGTTGGGGATGGACAAACCAAAACATGACAGAAATCCATGAAGTCATTGACAAGTGGACTGAGTCATGTTGGTAGGTGTCGACTACCTGATTGGGGTTCGCGAGATGTTAGTAATCGATGGTTAGAGACCCTGAATGACATGGCTCAAAATGGTTTGCAATGGCGCCGGTGCATTTATTCCTTATGTTCTATGAAATTCTAACCTTCTGAATTCCTCATCAACCCTATCTTTCTCTTTCTAAATTTACCTCACTGAATTATACTTCTTGAATAATATCTTCGCAGTTCAATCTCTTCGATTACTGCTAATATCTTTACCACATCTACTACTCTGGGATTAGAATTGACAATTACATCTCTGTGCTAATGTTGTGGTATGACAACATAAAATGATGTACGTACGTACGTACGAAGTTCTACGTTGCTATTGATTTACTGATTAATCAAACTATCACATCAATTATCTAAATAGAATAACTTACCGAGTCATAATAACTCCAGTTTTAGGATCAATACGAAACGCTTGGGAATTATGTTCATTTTTCAATGAATAAGTTAATTTCTTATCGAAATTTTGTTTAATCCCTTTAAATTCATCTCTTCCATTTGTTAAATTAAAACTGAATTTATCGAAATCATTAAAAATTTCTGTCAATTCAATGGAACCAGGCGGTAAATTATCTAAATCCACTGCCTCGATTTGTCCAACACGTGTACCAGGCAATAGATTTTCCGCGATACTAAATAAATAACCTCCGGTAATCGATAATTTCGGATGAAATATCGGTGGATTATCATTAATATCTAAAATATTTACAGTAATTAAACAATTTGTACTTAATTGTACAATGGGTCCATTATCTTTGACCATGATATTAAATGTATAACTAGATTTCTGTTCACGATCAAATGGACCCCATGCATAAAGTTGACCAGTTTCTGAATTAATACTAAATTTACCACTATTATCTGTGGTGTCTATTGATTCTGTTGGCAAATAATAAGTTAATTTACTATTCAAGCCAATATCATTATCTTTAGCTAAAATATACGCTAAACCATCTGGTGTAAACCAACTACGATTATTAGTAGTAGTCATGGTATTCTCGTAATAATCGGCGCCGCCGCCGCCGTCATCATCTTCATTATCATCTTCAAATATGGCAAAATGATAATGTGATACAGTACATTGTGGTGTTTGATCATTGACATCTAACACGTGGATCATAATATTACTGATTGTCATATGATCAGCTAAATCTTTACATTCAATTGTTAATAATAGCTGTGCTTGTTTTTCCCGGTCTAATTTCACTGTTGTATATAAACGATATTCATTGTTCATTATTGAATCTTGAAATGATGACAAACGAAAGTTATTAGCATTTGGACCAGTCAGTAAACATTGTGAACTCATTTGACTTGTCAATAGATCTGGATCTTTGACTTCAATTAAAGCAATCAATTCTCCTGGGGATTGATTTTCCAAGACGGCTATTTCTGTTTCATGTGATTGGTGTTGTTGATGATGATGATGATTTAAGTAAGTATTATAAGTAGTATCTTGTAATGATTGAATAGGATGAATATGTATTTCTGGTGGTTCATCGTCAATATTTTCAATTTCTAGTTGAATGGTAGCGTGGCCAGTTTTAGCATAAGGCATAATAGCACCATCTACAGCGATCACATCAAAACTCATTAATGATGTTGGTAAATTTGGACTATTGGCGCTTTGTTGTTGTTGTTGTGTTTTCATGTCAACATTCAATGGTTGTAGAACGCGTAGTTCACCATCTTTAGTTATTTCAAAGAAATGACGTATTAATGGATTTGTTAGATCTGGCGCGAAACTATATGTGATTTCAGCATTTCTACCTTCATCTGCATCTGACGCGTGAACACGTAGAATCGTTTTGCCGACAGGATAATCTTCTGGTATTGAACCGACTTTTTGATTTGGTAATTGAGGTTTATATAAAGATTGTGAAAATTTCGGGCTGTTATCATTCACGTCAATAAGATTGATGTGAATTAATAAGCGACTACTCATTGATGATGGTAAATCGTCGTTATTATTATTATTATTATTACTAGCTAATAAAATTAAATCCCAACCTTGTGGTGTTGATTCACGATCAAGTGTATGTCGTGCTGTTAAAAATAAACGTTCATCGTTGAAATGATTTAAATTCACTTTTTCTGTGATTAATTCAAACATATCGGTAGCGCGTAGTTTTAAATGATTCGGTTCATTCAAAAGATACGAATGCATATTATTATTATTATTGTTATTGTTTAAATGTGTATCAGAATTCAATAATTGATAATTGATTTTTGCATTCATCCCAATATCCATATCTTTAGCCAATGGGATGGATTGTTTCGTCCCAGGCGGGTCATCATCATGAAAATTCAAGGTCAATTTATTGATTGTCCACTGAGGGGCATTATCATTGATATCTTCAATAATAACGTGTATTTGATAGATTTTTTGTAAATTATTGGTAAATATTGCTATTCTTAACGTGACTATACAATCATGATGCGGATTTTGTACATTGTTTGATGAATGGGCTAGTTCATAATCAAGGAGGAGTTGGTTATTTACAGGATGTAGTGCAAGATTATTATTGTTACTACTACCAGTACTACTAGTACTACTACTAGTACTACTTAATTCATGTGTTTTCAATGGACAGATCATCTCTCGATCAATCCGATCGCTGACAATCAATTGTAATTCATTCAAATCGCCATGTTTATCAAATGGAATCCATTTGAAATCGAAACATCGGACACCTGGATCTTTTACATTCAATATTCTAGGTAATTTTGTAAAGTTTTGATTGTTATGATTATCATGATTATTATTATTAAAATTAGTAAATAAATTGCCTAATTTTGCATTCGATGCAATGATGGTACCTTTAGGTAATTCTTCAAGAATTGTAAATTTCAATTCTTCCCCATCTCCTTCTTCAACATTATTGTGTTGTAATCGAATTTCATGTCCAGTTGAGCATGTTATTAAATGAAATACAAAAGTTAAATTTAAAAATATAAGAAAATATATGTTACATGTTAAATAATTGGAGGATGATTTAAATTTGTGCGTTACATTGTGGTGAGTGATCATTGTGAATTTGTGTTTTGTTAAATTCAAAATTCAGTTTTTAATATGTGAAGTAAGTAATTAGTTACATGAATTTTTTGTGTGGATAGATTGTTCCGTGTGTTTGCTTGTTTGTTTGTTCTAACATCAGCTTGAAATAAGCGAGCTAAAATTGAAAAAAAGAAATTAAAAATGGCTGAATCAGTGTGAAAAAAAACACTCAAACTAAGGACGATTCCAAAGATAAAATGATAAAGTATCATACTTTAGAACTTGTTGATAATGTATACACGACACCTTATATATTGTTGGGGATGTTAGGTCCCCCCAGAACTCGCTTGATAAATGCCTTCACTTGGATTTCACGTTTGCAAGCATGGACTGATCAGTTGACCTTGAGATTTCATTTCCCATCAGGAAAATCAATGGCTGCTGTGTATTGTAGTTTGCTATTTTTGTGACTATCCCAAGGACGTTTCTATGATGTATAAATAAACGAGAGTTGTGTGCTTGATTGTATTGTGCTTGTTGGGTGTCGTAGAATATACTTTCTACGCTTATCAAGACTTTTGTTTTGCAGTTTTGGGATTCAAGTTAGCCCACCTGGACGCTCGTTCATTGTCTCGTTCGAGTTTATCGACTAAGGTGAACTCGTAATAGCTTCAAGCATACCTAGTGACAAACTTAACATATGTAATGGAACTTGATCATTTGAAGTTTGAAAGTTGTTTTTGAGTTGAATTCAGTATTCAATACTTTTTCTTGTAATGATAAAGTAACATTTATATATTACTGATTCATTTATTTACACCTATTCCCCCTAGTGGAGGATAGGACACTGACCAGAATTCTCCAACCTACTCGGTCATCGACCTTCCAACTGTTGTTCATTCTTCTCACATCAGTCTTCGTTTCTCGGTGTACTGAGTTCCTTGGCCTTCATCTTCTCCGTTGATTTAAGGGTTCCAAGTGAGGGCTTGTCTCGTGACGCAGTTATGTGTCCTATCCACTTCCAGCGCTTCTTTCTGATTTCTTCCTTATGTGGAATCTGGTTTGTCCTCTAACACACTAGGTTCTTGTTGATAGAGTTTGGCCAGCCGATCCTAAGTATTTTTCCTGAGTAACTGTTAATAAACACTTGTATTTCTCCAAGTTTCCGCTCTGTACAGTAGACCTGTTTTGACATTTATATTGAAAATTGTGACTTTGGTGTTAGTTGATAGTTTTCTCAAGTTCCAAATGTTCTTCAATTGACAAAATGCTGGATGTCATTTCTTTGCCAATCCATGCCTCCACATCCGTGCCTTCAGATAAGTAAAGGTTTCCAGATCCTACAGAATAAAACGAAAGGCTATCTCATTCTCTATGATCTTCAGTCTTTTTCTGAATTCAGATCCGATAATCTTCTATTCAGTAGTAACTTCTTCGAGATACTCAACTGATTACTACTTACATGAATAGTATATATCATACTATTATGACATGAATTTCCGCTTCACAGACGTCAAAATTTAATTATCACTTACCCTAATACTATATAAGTGTAAATTCATTTTTTAAACACGACAATATGCTCACTAGTGACTAGGGTCGTGAAGAAATTCTCGGGATTCTAATGAGAAGATGTGACCACGAGGAGTTCACCGCTGTCGGATGTAGGCAGTAACTATCCAAAACAATGGGTGAGGTTATGTAATATCTAGGATTGAATAAAGTTAGACATTAATACTATTAACTCATTGGTTTGGAGGTTAAGCATTTGCGCCCGAAACCAAAAGTCTTGGGTTCGATTCCCACATACAGGGTTCATGGAGGCGCACTGCTACTGTCTCCATAACTCGAATTGGAAAAAAAACACAATTCACTCATTTTAACGAACTATTTTAATCATTCCACGTGAAGTAAGTGTTTGTTATAACCGATAAACTAATCAAAATTCATACATTGATCAATGTTATCAATCATTGATTTGTTTATGAAAGTTAACTGGAACATGTACACATACATATATCTCTATCTATCTATGCAAAGCACATTTATTAATTGACAATAAACAGTTTGGAGTTGTTATAACTAACAGGTTTTTCCATTCATTACCTTTTTTAATTACAGGGTATTTTATACGTTCAACTTCCTGTTTACGTTAAAAAAAACAACACGGTACATTTCTATTTCGAAATTGAATATTGAATGACTACTAATTGAAAAATTATTGTTTTATTAAGGTTATAATTAATTATATATGGTCGATTTGAAATAGATTGAGTGTTTTCATTGAATTATGTCTTGGATATTATCTATCTAAGTGATAACAGTTGTATGTATGTATAGAAAGGTATAATTAACCCCTTATTGGCTATACAATTCAAATTCATATTGTGTGTTAAATTGAAGTATCAAAAAATAGAATATCATTTTGTTTATCGCGTCGAATTATCAATAAATCAATGTTCAATTACTATTTTAAAACCTGGGTGCACTGAACAGCCATTTTGTCTTTCTAGTACGAGATTACTACTCAGTAGCGTGTATCCACAAACCCATAAAGATGAATAGAATTCAGATCCTTTGGTTTCATGCTTGAATGTTTAAAATCTCTAGACTATTAAGTCAACTCCTTACGTCGTACAGTAGTGTCATAGACGTGCACTGTTGAACAATCCTACACTGGGTTGACAGAATGACCATCATGGTGTTTCACAAGTTTTCAAAGACGATCTAACATTGATCAACACTCATGAGTTCAATGAAATTCAACAATTTTCAAACAATTCTCATATTGACCATAATTCAAAATATTATTCATATTGTCATGTTTAAGTTATAGGAAACTAAATTAACTGGTTGTTTTGTGGTGTGAACTACTTATAAGTAGTATATGACGTGAGTGTCAACGTAATGTCTGGCAGCAGAAGATGGGGGAAGATAAAGAAAGGGGAGAGTTGGAACACAATGGAATTTGTATGAAACGCATGAATAGTAGTGACAATGGATTGATGTTTTGCAACAGGAACAGTCCAGTTCGATAGGATGGACTGATATTTTGCAAATGAACGATTTACGATATGGTTTTCCGATTTCACTGAGTAACTCTAATCCGGTTGCCCCACCTGTGTTCTCGTTCACTACAGTTTCAGGAACACTGAATATTGAAAAGAGCGCTAATTTTAATATTGTAAAAAATGTAGTCACATTCACTTGATTATATACATACGGTCGCACATTCCGAAAATTGATTGATTAGGAGGAAATGAATGAATGAGCTATTTAACAAAATTCATTTGGAGTCATTCCTCTATCATAAAATGATATCAGTCGCAAAGCTATGAAAATACATATTATTATAGGTTCGTAAAGATGGTTAGGTTTCATCGAATCGATCAATATTAGACCACTGTTAGAAACCTGGAAACGATCGACAACCTTTGCGTCATAAGCAATGCGTATCCATGACACCCACTTACGGGAGTCAAAGCCATGATCTCCGCTCACGTACGCCCTCAGACAAAATGCAGAGTCTTCTGACCACCATAAGCAACAATGCGAGCATGTTCAGGATGCGGTTCTCACCCTCGAAATGCAAAATAATGCTTCAAGATTGGGTTGCATCGGCACCTGAACTAGTGATAGGGAGTGAAGTAGTCGAGCGTGTTGATCACTTACTTCACCTATCTGCGGAGTCTCATCAGCGCTGATAGCCTGGTGACTGACGAAATCTAGGCTCGGGTACAGAAGTCTCGATTGGCTTTTGCCAAACTGCGTCACTTATGGCGGAGGCGAGATATCCGTTTGCTGACTACAGGACCAGTGTACTGTGCAGTAGTTCGCTCCGTCTTACTTTATGGCTGTGAAACATGGCTAGTGAGAGTAGAAGATGTTCGTAGGTTACTGGTTTTCGATCATAGGTTTCTTCGAAGCATTGCTCGTATATCCTGGGACACCCGCGTGAGCAACGCTGTTATTAGGAAACGGGTGCTAGTCAATGATGGAAGATCAATAGATGAAGTAATGAAACTTCATCAGTTGAGGTGGTTGGGATATGTGTTACGTATGCCTAACCACCGACTGCCTCGACGAGCTATGTTTTGTGGTGTAGGACTAGGTTGGAAGAAAGCTGTGGGCACCCAGACCAAAACATGGCAGAAATCCATGAAGTCACTGACAAGTGGACCGAGTGATGTTGGTAGATGTCGGCCACCTAGTTGGGTTCCGCGAGACGAAAGTCACCAATGGTTAGAGAACTTGAATGACATGGCTCAAAATCGTTTGCAATGGCGCAAGTGCATCCATTCTTTGAGCTCTCTCAAATCCTAATCTTCTGGATTCGTCAGCACCTCTACCTTTGTCTTTCTAACCTTATTTCACTGAATTATACTTCTTGAATAATAATATCTTCGAACCCTTTTCTTCTTCATTACCATTAATACCTCTACTATCTTTATCATTATAGGATTTGATTTGACATCTGTGTCTCTGTGCTAATAATGTGGTATGGCGACATGAACTTATGTACATACGTACGAAGTTCTACGTTGCAACTGACTGACTGCCCTCGTACGCCAAAGCTTAACCTATAGACCCCTGAGTCGGCGTCCGGCGGCGCTATTGTCTAACTTCGATCAATCCATGGTACTGCACAACGCTACCCATTATCTTCACGTCCGTTAGGGTTGAACTCCACTACTGTTCACAGCTTCACATTAGGACTCCATGGATTTTTCTCATTCATAAAGTCTTCAAAAGTCACAACAGAATGTTCCATTGTTAACTTAATTATCCAAAGTATGTTTTTTTTCATTTCAGTCACATACTTCATCAATCTTTTACATCATCAAAACAACTATCCAACCCCCTCCCCGCCCCCAGTTTATCATGTTTCTGTAAAACTAAACTAAACATACAAAACTTTGATTCGATTAAAATTTGTCGAGCGATTTTCCAGTTTCAATGATATCAGAAACAAAAATTGGGAATTTTTTCTCGGTATATTTTAAAAATTTAAGATTATAACAAGAAAATATAGATGTTTTTGTTTCGGAAAATTTTTAATGTTTTTATTAAATGAAAGCCATTAAGAAATGTAATTAACTTTGAAGAAAAAGGATTATTCTAATAGTATATACTGCTGCTGCATTAGTATTGGGTGATTTGAAATTGACCATAGAT